AGTATAAAGCTTCTACTTAACATAACTTTTTCACAAAATGTTAAGTTATCTCAGCTCCCAAATATACTTAGAAAATTGAAGATCCATTGCCACAAAATGCATACAAAGCCAGACTAAAAGTGAAGCCATAATCATGACCTTATCTTCACAAATGGGACAGAAAATCACTATCTAGAAGACACTGGAAGTATTTAACAAGAAAAACAAGAGTTTCTCACCCTCAGGCCGACACCAGCAATTAAAATCTTTGTCTTTTTATTTGAAAATATTATTGTATTTATGCATATGGAAAAACATTCAGTGAGAGCAAGGAGATCTTATAAAATTATCTGTAGTTTAGGTTTCAAAAGTGGCACAAGCATTATAGGTCAGTAGTCAGTGCAGATTTTTTGAAAAAACACCAAGAGTGTTATAGATTATTATATTTTCTGTGATGTTCTCAAAATTCAGAACAGCCTACTTATAAAAGCCTTGAAGGTTTGGGATGGGGTTTTTTTTTCAGTATTAGCTTTAGCATGTATTATAACCAAAAGTGATCATATTTTTATCTACATAATCTGTTTTTGCTGCATGCTTGCAAATTTCGTAAGACGCTCTTTCAACTAAACGATCTGAATTTTCTATTTCTTCACTCAAGACTGCAATCACTAGAGCCATTTAAAAAATTATATCACAGGCAACAGCAGACAAGAATTCATTCTTTTGTAGGCTATGAAAGAGGAAGACATTTATTGTCAGTCTTGTAGAGGAGTGAGGTTGTAACAATAAAAGGTAAATGACACAGATTTCAACTGCATTGTCAAAATCTGGGTTTGTTTTTAGAAAACTGTCACATAATCTTATGATTTCACAGTTGTTACTTATATTCACAATTCAGCCACATGATTAGATTTTTTTTGTTTGGTATCAAATCAAATTAGAAATATCACACCTATTTGTGAAGAAACTAAAACACAGGTATTTAAAACTGCAAAGACTGAGTGTTTACATGATCTTAATAATGTTAAGTCATACGCATGGACACGCAGAATCAGACTGAGTAGCATCTTTCCAAATAATTAAACCAATATCAGTGATCCTAATGCTATTCAAAGCATCAGAATGTGACCCATAACTCCTCTGTTTGGATAGATAAAAAAACAGAAAAGCGTTATTGGCCCAGCATATATAGAGACACAACCATGTATTAAGTGACACTATGGGAAGGTTCTCTATAATTATCTCCTGTAAAAGGTAACTGTGACCTTTACTTTTGCGTGGTCTCTCACCTCCATCACTTGTGGCAGGCTTTTACACCCAATAGAGATGGAACCCTTTGGTTATAGACTTACCTTCTCCTTGTTCCATGCAACTCTCTCTGCCTCTCAAAGAACAAGACATCTAAAAAGTACCACCTTTTGCTTCCACCCACCAGGAAAATGCTGACAGTCTGCCAAGCAGCAACATGCATGTCCACAGTCCCTTCTGATGTTGTCTCCAAACAATCTATCTGAGCCGCAGCTGTAGATGCTTAACGGAGAACAGATGGGGCAGATGGTCTGAGAAGAGAGTGTAACAGAGCTGGCAAGGGTCACCATCCTTGCCACCCCTCTGGTCTGGATTTCAAGCATGGCACATGGCCTCTGGTGTACCCATTCTCAGTGAGGTTATCTCAGAAGGAACTAAAAAATGCCATCTTCCAGCGGAAGACAGGAAGGATCTCTCTTTTGATACACAACCATGTAATACTTTTTCCACATCATAACTGCCTTGAAAGATCTGAGGTGTAAAAAGAGCAGAGACTTTTTTGATCATTTTCACTGGGAAATGTGAGTTCATCAACATCATTTTTCAGAGAAATGTAACAATATAGATGATTCTCATCAGCAAGGGTTTCCCCTGTAATAAATGAAAGTATGATTCAATGACAGCAGAAGTCTGTCCTGACACTGCTTGGAAGAGAGCAGCTCACTCATAATGTGGGATACTTACAAAGGATATACCCGTTCTCATCTGACCTGTACTAACCATGATAAAAAGATAAAAAAAAAAAAAATCCTTGAAATTTAACTCCCCAGAGAGAGGAAAGTGATGTGGCTTTGAAGTTCTGCTACCTGAAAATTCAACTGGCTTTCTGATCAGAAAGAAATTCAGGAATATTATCAGATGTTATTTTAAAATTTGGTCTTTTTGTTGTTAAAAAAGTCAATGTTGCATAGTTGTGTTAACCAAAATATATGCCATTCTACTTCATACCACTATGCCAGACATAAACATTACTCACTTTTAAAATTAATAATTTTTAAGCTAGAACTCTGCTCATGTATATGGATAGGCAGGGAACTATCAATGAATTTGGAGAACAAAAATTCATAGAACAAGTAGCTACACCATTCTGTACCTTCTAATATCACTGTGCCCCAAACTCTTGCACAACCCAAAGAGCTTAGCTATTGTATTGACATATGATGAAATCCACTGAGAAAATAATTTAAGCAGAAAAAATGAATAACTGGGAACTGTGTAAAAGCATTTCAGTACAAGTCTGAAAAGCTTCTGCCTGAAGCAGTTAAGATGCCTTTACCAGTTAAAAATACCCTAAAAGATATGACAGCAGCTATGAAAGTATTGCTCCCTGATTAAAGAAACAAGAAGCTAATAATAAATTCTAATCAGACTCTAGGAATTGTAAAAAATTGATAAGGGAAGCAAAACAACTCTATCATTAAGACAGAGCTAAGGACAATTTAAAGGCATATTTCTTCATAATTAAGACAGAAAGGAGCCATACAACAATGCCTCCAGAAAACTATCACTCAATATCTGAAAAAAGGACAGATGATATCACTGTATGATCGTGAATAAATGCTCTTCATAACTGCATACTTAAGCAAGATGCTAAAAAAACAACTGCCAAAACTATACATTATATGTGTTGAGTTGCTGGGGAAGTTCCAAAGGATAGGAAAAAATAGCAACAAAAAACTAAGTTCTGATAATATCTTAAGAGTCAGTAGAAAGTAGAAAAAATATATTTGCCAGTGGCAGGACTCTTGGGGTAATAAAATTCATGCCAGTTAGTATGGATCTATGGCAAATAAAAAATGTTCATAACTTCATGCCTTTTTTTACAAACATACACACTGATTGATAAAAATAATAAGCTTAATGATATATATGTTGCCATGATTATATACTCTGGCACCAGTGTGATTGCTTCTAGGTAACTGGGACCTGGTTGGGTCCAACTAGATAAGTTGGGTTTTTTGAGAAGTACCATCAAAATATATGAAGGTCTAGTAGACACATCTTGCAAGTAAATTATTCCAGACCCACTGCAGCTTCACAGCAATCTTTTGCTTTGCTTTGAAACTAAATACGAAGCTCCAGAGGTGCTTGTTCTCTCACCTCTAATCTGTTCCTGTTCCAGCTTTGAACCACCTGCAGCTACTACAGACCTACAGCTGATGAGGAGAGCGGAAGATGGGGGAGCAGACATTTTCTTTCTCTCCAGGAGAAGAAAACAGGAGAAAAGACCAAAGCTACTAAGCTCTATCTTCTTTCTCCTTTTCTCCCTCTGATACACTGCTGGAAAAAGTGAGAGAAAAAAAAAAAAACAAAAACTAAAAACAAAACAAAACCAAAAAAAACCCCAACCAAGACGTACTTTTTCCAGCCAGAGCTGAAGGAAGTTTGAGGCTTCTGACATCTTTACAGAACATACCACAGTACAGCAGCAGCACTGGGGACACTGGCAGTGCTGATCCCCCATGTCTTGTTGCCCCTTCTATTGCCAACTCCGCTGTCCTGCTGCCAAATATTCCTGCGTCCCCAGAGGAAAGAAGGGAAGAGAAAAGAAGGGGCAATAGTGCAAGGGCATGGTTTCCAAACAAACTTTTCTCAGATTTTTTGCTTGCATGATTTTCTCTGATGTAGTCTAGCCAGAGGCTGACCTCCAAATAACATTAAGTCTAATAACTATAAGAACTGTGCTCCTCCCTCATTTCTCTAACTGTATAATCTAAGTGCTAACACTTTTGCATCTTTCCACTGAGTTAACACATTAATTTTCCTTTCTTATTATACTTCACCTTATTGCCTTGCTCTAGCTATCAGATGTACAAGTTTACTTTGCTGTCAAGTTCCCCCTTTGGTCTCCCAACCCTTGCAGCCCCAAGCAGGCACACACACACCCTCCCTCTGTCAAGCAGGTGTCATTTCCCCATTGCTGCTCCCTGCCAATAGGAAGAACTCCCTCACAAAATGCTGCTTTGCAGCCTATCTTCCAGCATATTTCTCTCATAATGACTACAGATATTGGCAGTCCCCAGTGGCACGGCAAGGAGTGGTCTGAGATTACTGAGTGATTAGCAGAGAAAGAAAGTCAACAGGCAGAAGTCATTATATGAAGATACTCTTTTCCAAGAATCAAGTGGCTCTAAAATGCTATAGCCACGTTAGGCCAAGGTTTAACAAACTTAGTTAACTCATTTTCCCTGGCACCCCTGTGTGCACATGGCCTCTGCATTACTGCAGTCATGCTTGTCAACATGCTCACAGCACATTCACCTGTTGAAGCCTTCCATTGCATCTGTTCTGAAATACTGCCTGAAAACTTTGTCTTCTCTTAGGTGTCCATACTGTGTCTAGGGCAAGATAGCTCTGAACTGTTACTGAGGTTCTTAAATACTACCTTGATATAAGTGGCTAACAGAAACAACAGTAATAAAGCTACATTTTTAAGGAGCAACAAGCAGCTCACCTTAATGCCTGGTTTAAAAAAGGACTGTTGCCTGTATGACTCTTTCAGCATACTACTTTGCAGGCAAATTAAGTTCTACTCAGTGGGTGTTTACTTTCCCTTTAGCCACTGAGATACTGGACCAGTACAGTTTAAATATAAATATCAGTTTTGTTCCTTGGTTCTAGTTCATCTCTATTTCCAACATAATAGAACATAAATCTGATCACACAGCTTGGATAATATCATTGTTCACTTTATAGCCATGGCTCACCGTCACACTGGACAAGATCACACCGGGGATAAGGTCACAGAAGCTCTCTGTGTGTCTTCTACCCTGTGATGTTATCAGGTACTCAACCCTAAAGCAATAGAAACACACTGATAAAAAGAGGGGAAAGGGAACTGTGATAATAAATCAACTCAACTGCAGAGAAAGTGCCAGGGAAAACAATATTGATTTTTTTTTACAAGTCAGTGCACAGATTTGTCAGACAAAAGAATAGAGATGTCAAAACCCAAAGAATCAAACACACTAATATTAAGAGAAAAACAACCCCACTACCTACAAAATGCTAGAATGTGTGCATAGTGATGTTTATCATGAAGAGGAATGGTATTTTATCATACCCAGAAAATTTAAAGGAAATATTTATACAATCTGTATTTAGCAGCTACTGTTTGCCCCTCACACTGATTTTACATTAAAACATCTTAGTAGGGTCAGGCAGAAGAGTCAAGTCCACTGCAAAAGAAAACCGCCTCTGGCCCAATGAACAAAAGATGCTTCATTCCTCACCTGAGGGAGGTGACTCTCTGGTCATCACCAGTGACCATGCAGTTACCTCCCCAGATGGTAGCAGAGCATCTTGCTTCTCTTCAGTGACTTAGAGGAGCTTTCTTTCTGAAATGGCCATGTTACACTCATGGAAAATAGGAGATTGGTCAAGGTAGGGCAAGAAGACAAGACCATATTGGAGAGAGAAGACATTTAAACTCTATTCTGCTAAAGAAATTATTAAAATAATATAACCAATTACAATAAGTATACTAGATGGCATCATAAACTCTGATACTCTCACCAAGGATCATAAGAAAATAGTAGTTGTGTGAAATGCCAAGTATAAGAATAGAAATAACTAGCAGTTCAGAACCGTAATTCATCTGTTATCGAACACTTATCTTCAATAAATTCAGAGAAACTAAGGTCAGAAAGACAATTACTTCAATTATTGTGTCCCATGTAACAGAAGTCCTTAAATTTCATGCCATTGCTCTTATTTGTATTCCCAAAACCTGTCTGGCTAAATCAATTATTTTAGAAAAACATTCAGCATTGAATTGAAGACTTCATAAGGTGTAGAAATCATCAACTTCACTTGTAATCTGTGCTAATGTTTCAGTGTCCTCACTGTTAAAAATTAGTACTAATTTCTTATTCAAATTTGTATGCCTTTAACTTCCTGTCATTGATCTTTTATCTCTTAAATTATGGAGCACATGATTTTCTCAACATGAAGATATTTGGGCATTATAATCACATCACATTCAAATCTTCTTGTTAGAACAATGGATAGATTTAATTCCTCAAAATCTCATTATAACTCACTTTCTTCAGCACACAGTTATTTTTGTGGCTCTTTTACTCAACCCTTCCAATACTTTGCAATTCTGGAGCTGCAAGTGGTTGTTACTCACATGGTTGTAGGTTGCACCTATGATTGCCTGGAGATACGCTGGTGTCAATTCACCAATCCACAAGACTGCAGCTCATTTCATGCTATTGTCAGTAGGATACTAGACGTATAAATGGCTACATGCCATTGCACATGCACAAGGTATGACCTAATACTGAACCACAAATCAAGCTACTATAAAAACTCTACGCTTTAGCAACTGTTGATATTCTTTAAATTGGGCATACTGTTTTCCTGTGCTTGGCCTTGCTTTGATTTCCATGCTTTTATTTCCATTGAATAAGAAGCAATGCTGAAAGAGAAAATAAACTTCTTGTCTCATCTTCAAGGTATGGTCATGAGAATCTTGTTTAGGAAAGAAAGTATAGTATAAGTAGCAGACCAATTATGGACCTCATTGTAAAGGTAAATAGGAGTCTTGATTTCCAACACCTACCCTTCACCAGTTGCCAAGATGCTAAAATAATTATGATCTTTCAAATATTCTTGAATTTTATTTGTATATTCTCTTCTGTGATGGGATTTTGTTTTATTTGCCCGTCTTTACAGTCTCTGAAATCATTATTCCAAATGCAGAAACATAATGCACAGAAATAGTTAAAATTTATTTTATCCCCAGGTATTCAATATTCTCTCTCTGAATACTCAGCAAATCCATTCAAATAGTGGCTGTACTGAACTCAGTAATCCCTCTTTTTCTGACAGTAGTTCCCCCTTTGCAAGCTTCCCAAATTTAAAAACATGTCCATGCCATAAGCCATGCAGCAAAACACTCCGGTGCCTGAGGTTCTCTTCTTATAGGGATACTTCTAGGTACTAAAGAAAAGTGCAGTGCATCACAGCCAAAGTTGTAGGTAGAGTTTTCAGCACAGCCAAGAAGTCCCTTGTGCTGTGAATTCTTCACATAGTGTGGGCAGCCACTGGTCACACCATTGAATTAGAACCTCTTCATGATGGGGAAACAGCATGTAATTTGAAATGGGCTGATTAAAATGACAACATTTGAGAAAGCTTACAGCTAATTTTGTTTGCTCAGCACAGTATGAAAACAGCTGTCTTTCCATGATCTCTTCATGAAAAAGTAGTTCAGTGGTAAACAAAATTTCAGAAGCAGAATCTGGGTCTTTCCTGTTTGTTTTGTTTTTCAAGACAAAATTGTGTTAAAATGAGGACTATTAAGGCAGCCATCTTTCAGCAACTTAAAGGCTCTGAAACCAACTAGAACATTTAGAAAAAAGGGTGATAGTGCTAAATGCACTATGAACAGGAGAAATGCAAGCCACTGGATTGGCAGAGCAAGACTTTCCTGAATAAACACCTACATCTGATAGATGATAACAAGCATGAAATAACAAGGCTTGCCATAAAATATGTTTTTCCCAAAATACACTGGTTTGTTCTTGTTCACAAGGCCTGACAAACATAAAAAAGTTGTTTCTGTGGCTACTGTACAGGCTATTCACTACCCGGACTTCTGAATTCAAGCCCACAGTTTAAGCCTATGGAGTCTTGGAAAAATTCCACACTCTAACATTGTACTTATCTATGTATCTTTATGAAAACATCTAGACTTAAAAAACATCTCATGGAACCACACTTCTCAGACCTAAATAAAAGTCTTATCTACTATGTTAGCTAGAAATTGTCTTTCCTACTACTCTTTCCTGAGTAATCTGTTTCCCACCCTGTCATCTAATGATTGAAGTACCTTCCTTTTTTTTTTTTATTTTCCTACAAAACAGTAAAATAATTATCTTTGAACAAAATAACAAACAAAAAAAAATCCCTGATGGTTCTTAAAAGACTCAGAAAAGCCTCAACCAAGTAGATATGCTTCAAAATTTTTGACAAGTTCACACTTGTCTTACTAGAAACAAGTTCAAACTAAATTTAAAAAAAAAAAAAAAAAAATAAAAATCACAGCATACTGATTTCATAATGTTAATGTTTAATTTTTCCATTTCAAGTGTGTGATTCACAACATGGGCAGCTATAGACAGAATACTGCACCAGGGACAGAATCTTCAGTCTCTTCCTGAACCAGGCTGGTCTGTATTTCCTGAGCTCAGACTCAGGCAGCAAAACTGAGTGCATGTTCCTTAACAGCTCCAACTGGTCCTTCATCATCTCTCCTTCAGAGTCTTCTGTTTTCCTCACTTCTCTCTATCTGCCAATATGACATCAGTATTCAACACTGACCAGCAGAGGACCAAAACATTAATGACAAATTTATCTTGCTCAGCCTGTGTAGCTATTTGCTTTAAAGTCAAGTTATTCTTATGAAAATGTAAGTCAAGCACAACATGCCCGCTGGCATTTTTCCTTCACACCAGCACATCTTATGAGCCTAACAAGGCTCATCCATCATCTGCACTAACCATGGACTGAGGTGAAAGGTCAGGAGTCAGGGTTTGGAGAAAGTCAACTGTAAGGGGACAGAAGGCATGCTGACAGGGAAAAGACTGTATCACTGTCATCTACCAGCAATCACAGCAGCAGTGATTGACAAAGACAATAGAGTTTGGTAATACATGGCAATTATGCATTTATTTCATACATTCCTTTTGTTCTCCACAGTTGTAAGATGCAATAGTTACTGCTGAAAGTCTATGAGAGACTTTCATGACTTCTGCCATGTGCACGGTGCACAGCATCTGCTCATCCTTTAGAGGTGACCCCTTAATGAAAGGCTCACAATTTTAGGTTCCAGGTTCAGTCATTTTGCCCTACACAGATGAGATTTCTTTTTCCTCCAGAAGACTCAACAACTGGGTGAAAGCAAGCAGATGGTCTCTTCTCACTGGCAGACATTCCTGATAGTGCTGTTCTGGACATTTTTCTCTGCAGCTATGTTCTTTTTTTTTAAAAAAAAAAAAAATAAAAAAAAAAAATCACCACATTAGACTTTCTTAAATCCCACAAGCTCTCTCTCTCTCTGAGCAGGGCTTCTCTTTCACTCCAAACTATCCAAACTAGAAATTAGAAAACTGTTGCCACATTTGTAAGACAATTGCTCTCCATTATTCTAAATCTCTTAACCATTAAATATGACAGCCTAACCAATAAAAACATATTCAATTTTTTTCATTTCATTTCTTTAGAAAACTAAGGAGCAAAAGAACAGCAGTATATATGGGATTATCTTAATAAGAGAAAGATATCTCAGCAGAGCCTGCTAAACAAAAGCAGGTCCTTTTCCCTGAAAAACATTCTATATTGTAAAAGCAGTAAACAGTAATATAAAAAAAAGTTTCCCAAGTGACATGATCTTTCTTTCACAGTCCAAAGAGCAAATTATAGGAACACTGATCTCAGAGGGGTGTTTTAGGAAAACATACCCACAAAAACATACAGAAATATGGTATCCTGGATATAAAGGCAATAGTCTCCACTTCTTACACTACTGATGTAAGGTAAAGGCAGAAATAGAACCAGGGTCTATGGCTGTCTTTTGAGGACCAAGGGCGAAGGCTAAAATTTATAACTTAAGGAGAAGGCTGTTCTTAAAGGAAAATAATCAGAGAAGTCCTGAAGGGATCCTTCAACCACTCAATCCGACTTGCTGTAACATACATTATGTATATCTTCCAGCTATCCTGTGCTTCACTGAAAAACTTCAACTTGGCTAAAGTAACATTTGTCCAACAACTACAGAAACGTTTGCC